TGAAAAAAAAAAAAAAAAAAAAAAAAAAAAATGTACAATACTGCCTCCCACATAGTGCAGTTATGTTTTTCTTCTGTGGCTTCTTTTAAGATTGTCTTTTTGTTTTTGGCTTTGCGTAGTTTAAATAAGATGTGTCTAGATATTTTTTGGCATTTACTCTGTTTGGCATTATTTGAGCTTCCCGAATCTGTAGTTGTGCTAAGTTTTTATTTAAAACTTTCAGACATTCACGCATTTCTCCATTTCCTTTCTGTCTTTAGTCTTTTCTGGTAATTCCTTACACTTAGCTACTCCTCTATAAATTGTTGAATAATTCTTGATATTCTGCTCTTTTGAAAAATGTTTGTCTCCTCCTTCCATTTCAGCTTTATAAACTTCTATCAGCCTATCTTAAATATCTTATTTTTAATTATTATGGGTTTGTTATAGTTATGTATGTTTATAGGGTATATGTGATGTGTTGATATGGGCACAAATGTGTATTAATCAAATACGGGCAATTGGGGTACCCATATCCTTAAGCATTTATCATTTCTTTGTATTAGGACATTTTATTCCACTCTTTTATTTATTGTGAAGTATACACAACTTCTTGCCGACTATAGTCACTTTAGTTTGCTATGCAATATTGTTGGTTTTGTCCAAGTATCTCTGTTTTTGCACCCAGTAACTATTCTGGCTTTACCACCCCTTTCCCACTACCTTTCCCAACCTCTGGTAACCATGATTCTACTATCTGTCTCCTAAGGCCACTTGTTTTAATATTTATTACCCACATATCAGTAAAATTGTGGAAGATTTATCTTTCTGTGCTTGGTTTCTTTCACTTAACCAATGTTCACCAATTCCATCCATGTTGTCACAGATAACACCATTTCATTCTTTTTTTTTTGACTGACTAATATTCCTCTGTGTGTGTATACCATAATTTCCTTATCCATTCATCTGCTGGTGGACACTTAGGTTGATTCCTTATCTTGGCTATTGTGAATAGTACTGAAATAAACTTGAGCATACAGAAATCTTTTCAGTGTCCTGATATTTTCTTTTTTTGAATATATACCTGGTGTTGTAGCCCCTAGGGCCCCTGTGGCCCTGGTCTCAATCGCTGCAGGAAGGAACCAGATGCTATATGGATTAGAAGTACAAGTTTGCAGGAGACAAGCTAACCTTGATTGTATGGTAGCCCTGAGCAACGTCCCCACTAGCCTTTTATTGAGACAGTACAAGACAGGTGAGGCGAGTATTAGACAATGACTACCAGCCGGTGCTTCGACATGGGCTGGGGCTCTTTCTCCAGAAGGTGCACCTGCAGACGAATTGCCCGAGGGTCCTCCCCTCAGCTGGAAATCATCTTTCTCAGAGGTCATCTAGCTCTTGGCGTCCTCTACAATCTGGCAGTTTTTTGAAGAACCTCTTTACTGTCATTAGAGTGGTTGCATTGATTGATACTCCCACCAAAGTTTACATTTTAACTAACACTACATTAGAGTTCCCCTTTCTCTAATCCTTGGCAGCTTCATTATTGCCTGTCTTGTTGATAAAAGCCGTTTTAACTGGGGTGAGAGCATATCTTGCTGTAGTGTTGATTTGCCTTGCTACAATGGTGTATTATGTTGAGCATTTTTCCATATACCTGATGGCCATTTGTATGTCTTCTTTTGAGAAACATCAACTGACATCTTTTGCCCGTTTATAATCAGATTACTTGATTTTTTTCTTGTTGAGTAGTTGCAGTTTTTCACTCCCTTGTCATAATAGCTATTTGAAAATGTTTTTCTCATTCTGTGGGTTGTCTCTTCCCTTTGCTGATTGTTTCCTTTGCTGGGCAGAAGATTATTAGCCTGGTGTGATCCTATTTATTCCAACTTGTTTTGGTCATCTGTGCTTTGTGAGTTTACTCAAGAAATCCTTGTCAGACCAATATTCTAAACTAATTCCCCAATATTTTCTTTCAGTAATTTCATAGTTTCTTATCCTAGGTTTAAGTCTTTAATGCATTTTGATTTTAGTTTTGCATATGGCAAGAGGTAAGTGTCCAGTTACTTTCTTGTATATATGGATCTCCAGTTTTCTCAGTACCATTCTTGAAGAGACTATCCTTTCCCCAATGTATCTTGCCACCTTTTTTGAAGATTAGTTCACTACAGATGCTTAGATTTATTTCTAGTTCTTTATTCCATTTAGCTGGTCTATGTGTCTGTTTTTATGCCACTACCATGCTGTTGGTTTACTAGAATTCTGTGGTATAATTTGAAATCAAATAATATGAGTCATTCAGTTTTGTTCTTTTTGGTTAGGATGCTTTTGGTTATTCTGGGTCTTTTGTGGTTCCATATAAGTTTCATGACTATTTTTTCTATTTCTATTAAGAATGAAATTGGTATTTGGATGAGGATTTCATTGAATCTGTAGGTGCTTTGGGTTTTAGTGTGGATAGTTGTTTTGATTTTTCCAATCCATAAGCATGAAATATCTGTCAATTGTTTTGTGTCCTCTTTAATTTTATCTCTGTTTTATAGTTTTCATTGTAGATATCTTTCACTTCTTTAGTTAAGTTTATTCTTAGTCATTTAGCTTTATTTGTAGATATTTTAAACGGAATTGCCATACTTTCTTGGTTTCTTTTTCAAGACAAAGATTCATTTCTAATCTATATTCATGACACTGATGAGTGAATCAAAGCATTCATTTCTGTTACTATGTTTTTAATTTCTAGCATTTTATTTCAATTCTTTCTTACAGGGAATATATTACTGATGAAATATCTATCTATTTTTCATGGTTTCTAATTTAAAAAAAAAACCTTACCATGTTATTCATAGCTATGTGATGTTCTCTGATCATTTTAAAAGCTGTATTATAACTGAATCTATATCTAATATTTGCTTTGCTTCTTTAAACTATATTTTTTGCTTTGTAATTTTTTTTGTTAAATGTTTAATATGCTGCACAGATAATAGGAACTTAGCTAAATAGGCTTTTTTCTCTGATATTCTATGTTTATCTGGCTAGGAGTTGAGATATTGATTTGAAATGGTTTATATTTGATGTACCTATAGGTGCCTGAGGCTGCCCCGTCCCATTCCTCAAAATAGGGAATTTTTTGACTCCTCAATGTGAAAACCTAGTGCGGTTCCTAGATATAATAGTGAAAAATCCTCTA